GTAGATGATTGGTTCATTTATTCATTCAACAAACACCCATGCCCACATCTTGTCTAGGACCCAAGAGAAGGCAGGGACTCCTTGCCGTTGGTTGCCATGACAACCCAAAAGTCTTACTCCAGGCAGCTTCTCCATCCCTCCTTCTTGACGTTCCCCAAACCCAGGAACACACCACCACCCCACCCCCACACCAGGGGCTGCTTCCTTCTTCCTCCTGATCCCTTCCCACCCCTGCTCAGCATCCAAAGCCTTCTTCGGTTTCCTAGGAGCTGGCCCGGTTGCTAAGCGACAGCAATCAGTCCCTCTCATGCCTGCAAGGATCCTGCACAGCCTTGTGGCTGGGGAAGGGGCCATGGGCAAAAGTGAGCCTCTGCCCACTGCTGAGTCCCTCAGCCTGTCACCTGCCTCCCTGATTCTCCCTCAATGAGACTCTAGGGAGCCCCAGCTGGGGCCAAAGCCAGAAGCAAAAATCTGGAGGTGGTGGGAGAGGCTCAGAGAGGGCAAGGAACGGCTTTATGGTCACACAGCAAGCTAGAAATTGGAGGTCCTCTCCGATCTGGGCAGGGATTTGCCTAAAAGTGAGAGCTGGGAAGGTGAAAAAAAAAAGGCAGAAAAACAGGATGAGAGAGGAGTGGGGGAAGGGTGGAGATATTTGAGGGAGCAAAATGACAGAGAGCTGAGGAAGGGAGAAGGAGATGGCCATGACAAATAGGCAAGAGGGAAGATGGGTGTCCCATGAGCTGGTGCACCTAGAGGGCCACCTGTGGGTTTTCCTGGTCTTGCGTCCATCTTGCGTCTGACTTTTCTTTGGGACAGGACCTATCTCCTTCTCACTACCCCCTCTCACATGACTTAGTGGGGGCCAATCCCTCACTCCACTCCAGTAATGGGCTTGTCACTCAGGCCTGACCCATTATTCAATGTAATTGGTTCAGAGACAGCATGCGCCCCAGCCTGAGCCAGTAAAACTTCATCCCAGGACACTGGTTGGAAATGGTAGGAAATAGAAGTTTTTTTTCTGTTGGAGTGGCTCAGCTGGCAGGGTGCCAGACTGGAGCTGCTAGGGCCACCTCTCACCTGAGGAGAGGTTGCCTAAGAATGAAGCTAACTCAGAGACCAGCAGAGCTAAAAGACAGATTCCTAACGGCATCGTTTGAACACTTGGACCCAGCCATGCCTGAAGCTACATGTCAGTCATATAAGCCCATAACGTAGCTCTTTTGCTTAAGCCAGTATGAATTGGGTATTTGCCAGTTACAATTTAATAACTACACCTCCACACTCACCTGTCACCTGTCATCCTGAGTGTCTGGTCTGTTGCTGCTAGTCCCTGGGGACTCAACAGGATTTTGCCCCCAGGAACTTAAAACCCAGTGAGCTTGGACTGTTTGTCCACACAGGGAACCTGACTGTCAGCCCAGAAGTGTGCCAGGAGTGAGGAGGCCCCAAACGCCAGGCAGCAGGGGAGACCCAAGGGACTCCTGCTCATTCTCAGACCACCCTCCACACCACCTCCACCTTGAGCATACCTGGCCTGAAGCACATGGCATCGAAGGCAGCGGCCCCGCCCATCCTCCAGCATCTGCACTGACAGGCAGATCTCACCCTGCACTTCTGCATCTGGGTCCACTCGGCTCAAGTTAATCCAGCTGTCAATCCCTGGAAGGCACAGGCGCTAATGTTTATGAAGTGCCTACCATGTACTGGGTATTGTGTTAACTTAAAAATTCAATTAACATTATTTTCATTATTATTATTATTATTATTATTATTTGAGACAGGGTCTGGTTCTGTTGCCCAGGCTGGAGTGCAGTGGCACGATCTTGGCTCACTGCAACCTCTGCCTCCTGGGCTGAAGCGATTCTCCTGCCTCACCCTCCCGACCAACTGGGACTTCAGGCGTGCACCACCATGCCTGGATAATTTTTGTGTTGTTTTTTTAAAGATGGGGTTTCACTATGTTGCCCAGGCTGGTCTCAAACTCCTAAGATCAAGCGATCCACCCACCTTGGCCTCCCAAAGTGCTGGAGTTACAGGCATGAGCCACTATGCCCTGCCTCAATTAAAATTAAAAATGTGTTAAGACCCTGGCTTCTGATATAGGTGCTGTAATTATCCCCATTTTCAGATGAGGAAAATGAGGCACAAGGAGGAAGAGTTTTGTCCATGGTCTCACAGCTAGTAAACGGCAGAGCTAGAATTTGAATGCAGGCAGTATAGTTAGTTCTAGGGCCAATGCTCGTAGCCATGTGCCATCACACACTTCACCCTGGTATAGAAAGAACTTCATCATGTAATCCCAGCATACTCTCCCCTCAAAAAAATCTTGGGCATTTCTCCCTCTCTGTATTTCTCTCAACACTTTGAAGACATTGTTTCACTGACTTCTAGCTTTCCATCACCAGGCTGGAGTGCCGTGGTACAATCTCAGCTCACTACAGCCTCAGCCTCCCAGGCTTAAGTGATCCTCCTGCCTCAGCCTCCCCAGTAACTTGGACTACAGATGTATACCACCAGAGCTAGCTAATTTTTTGTGTGTTTTGTAGAGGTGAGGTTTTGCCATGTTGCTCAGGCTGGTCTCAAACTCTTAAACTCAAGCCGTCTGCCTGCCTTGGCCTCCCAAAGTTCTGGGATTACAGGCAGGAGCCACCGTGCCCAGCTTTTTCTATCTATTGTAATTCTTTTTTTTTTTTTTTTTTTTTTTGGAGACAGAGTCTGGCTCTGTCGCCCAGGCTGGAGTCCAGTGGCCGGATCTCAGCTCACTGCAAGCTCCGCCTCCCGGGTTTACGCCATTCTCCGGCCTCAGCCTCCCGAGTAGCTGGGACTACAGGCACCCGCCACCTCGCCCGGCTAGTTTTTTGTATTTTTTAGTAGAGACGGGGTTTCACTGGGTTAGCCAGGATGGTCTCAATCTCCTGACCTTGTGATCCGCCCGTCTCGGCCTCCCAAAGTGCTGGGATTACAGGCTTGAGCCACCGCACCCAGCCTTATCTATTGTAATTCTAAGGACTATGTCTTTGATGCACTGCAGTTTCATCACAATGTGTCTAGATACAGATTTTTAAAAATCCTGCTTAGTAGAGATTGTGCTTCTTCTATTTATGGAATCATATCCTTCCTTTAGTTCTGCAAAATTCTAGATGATTGATTTTTTAAAATTATTTCCTCTTCCCAATTTTTGTTAAAATTTTTGCCTGTCTCTGATTTTTAAAATTCTATCCTTCTCGAACTCCAATTAAATAAATGTTAAACCTCCACAGTTATTTTCCATGTCTCTAAACTTCTATTTTAGTTTTTTCTCCTTTTCCTCTGAAACAAATTCTGAATAATTTCTCTAGACCTTTCTTCCAGTTCACTAAATCTCCCTTTAACTATGAATAATCTGCTGTTTCACTCAACCACTCCATTTTTTATTTCAACAATTACACTTACCTCTAAAAGTTTTATTTGGTTCTTTTTTAAAATCTGCCTGCGTAATTACTTGTAATTTATTGCTGTTGTTGCCAAACTTTCTTGTGATTACATCTTTTATTTCTTTAAATCTGATTCTTTTTAAAAATCCTGTACATTATGATTACAGAATCTAAAGTCTTTGTGGGTCTAAATCAGATGATTATTGTTTCTGCTGACCATTGCCCATGGTGTCTCATTTCCTTGTGTGTTTGCTGATCTTTGTGAAGTCGTGTTTGTTTGAACTTACTCTGGGAAACCTAAGGAACATGCTTATCCCTAGAGAGGAGCAGGAGTTGGTTATTCTGGGACCCCTTGAGGGTCTCAGCCTAAGGGAGAATTCTTATGTTGAGTAACATCCACCTTGCCCCTAGTCCAAGTTTTAGTCTCTTTATTGACTGTAGAATTGATATTGACCTTTGCTTTCAAGGAAATCCTTCATGGTTTCCTTGCTTTTTGTTTACCATTCCCTGTTAGGTTTTAGCTAATGGTTTTTGTTTTTGTTTTTGTTTTGTTTTCATTTGAGATGGAGTCTCACTCTGTCACCCAGGCTGAAGTGCAATGGCCCGATCTCAGCTCACTGCAAACTCCGCCTCCCAGGTTCAAGCGATTCTTGTGTCTCAGCCTCTCGAGTAGCAAGGATTACAGGCACCTGCCACCATGCCCATCTAATTTTTGTATTTTCAGTAGACAGGGTTTTCACCATGTTGGCCAGGTTGGTCTCGAACTCCTGACCTCAAGCGATCCGCCAGCCTCGGCCTCCCAAAGTGCTGGGATTACACACGTGAGCCATCCCACCCAGCTTCATGATTTCAGATGGAAAAAATACTGAGGAATTTCCCATTCTGTAAAGAAGTTTGGCCTGGCATGGTGGCTCACACCTGTAATCCCAGAACTTTCGGAAGCCGAGGCAAGCTGATCACCTGACGTCAGGAGTTTGAGACCAGCCTGGCCAATACGGTAAAACTCTGTCTCTACGAAAATACAAAAAAAGTTAGCCAGGCATGGTGGTGCACTCTGGAAGCTGAGGCAGGAGAATCACTTGAACCTGGAAGGCAGAGGTTGCAGTGATCCGAGATCATGCCACTGTACTCCAGCTTGGGTGACAGAGCAAGACTCCGTCTCAAAAAAAAAAAAAGAGAGAGAGAGAGAGAAGTGCAAAATGAACCTATGCTGAGGCAATATTTCACCTATCAGATACACGATCAAAAAGTTTGATAACTGGCTGGTCTGCATGCGGTAGTATTTACAACTAATTGATCACAAAAAGTTTGATAACTGTTTGCGAGAGTGTGGGGTGAGTGAATTGTTAACTCTTCCATGGAGGGTGATATAACAACAACTACCAAGTACGCAAATGTGTGTACTCTTTATTTCAACTCTAGGAATTTATCTGACTGATGGATATAACTTACATATGTGTGAAATTTTTTTTGTACAGGCTAGTTATTGTAGCATTGCTTGAACCAAGGAAAGACTATGAACTCCCTAGATGCCATCAATAGGGAACTAGCCAAATAAATAATGGTAAAGCCACACAATGGAGCACCACGATGCCATCCCAAACAAAGAATGCGGAAACTCTGACAGCACTGTTACAGAAAGATCTCAGTGATACTTAGTGAAGTAAAAAGGCAAGGTACAGGCCAGGTGGTGTGGCTCATTCCTGTAATCCCAGCACTTTGGGAGGCTGAGGCGGGTGGATCACTCGAGGTCAAGAGTTCGAGACCAGCCTGACCAACATGGTGAAACCCCATCTCTACTAAAAATACAAAAATTAGCCAGGTGTGGTGGCAGACCCCTATGATCCCAGTTACTCATGAGACTCAGACAGGGAGAATTGCTTGAGCCCAGGAGGCAAAAGTTGCAGTGAGCCAAGATCATGCCATTGCACTCCAGCCTGGGTGACAGAGCAAGACTCCATCTCAAAAATTAATTAATTAATTAATTAATATTAAAAATTTAAAGGCAAG